ACAGGAGTACTGATGCATAGGGGCACTTGTACCCCAATGTTCATAGCCGCACTCTCAATAATAGCCAAATTATGGAAAGAGCCTAAATGTCCATCAACTGATGAATGGATAAAGAAATTGTGGTTTATATACACAATGGAATACTACGTGGCAATGAGAAAAAATGAAATATGGCCTTTTGTAGCAACGTGGATGGAACTGGAGAGTGTGATGCTAAGTGAAATAAGCCATACGGAGAAAGACAGATACCATATGGTTTCACTCTTAGGTGGATCCTGAGAAACTTAACAGAAACCCATGGGGGAGGGGAAGGAAAAAAAAAAAAAAGAGGTTAGAGTGGGAGAGAGCCAAAGCATAAGAGACTGTTGAGAACTGAGAACAAACTAAGGGTTGATGGGGGGTGGGAGGGAGGAGAGGGTGGGTGATGGGTATTGAGGAGGCCACCTTTTGGGATGAGCACTGGGTGTTGTATGGAAACCAATTTGACAATAAATTTCATATATAAATAAAAAAAGTAAATAAATAATTAAAAAAAAAAAAAAGAAATAACATTAGAATTAGAGGTATCCCAGAAAAGGAACAGAGAGAAACAGTTGCAGACAATACATGTGAGTAAATTATAGCTGAAAACTTTCCTAATATGGGTAAGGACACAGACATCAAAATCCAAGAATCACTGAGAACTTCCATTAGATTAAAAAACAAACAAACAAACAAAAAACAATCATCACCAAGGCATGTCATAGTCAAATTCACAAAATAGACAGACAAGGAAAGTATCCTGAAAGCATCAGGGAGGAAAAAAGGCCATAACTTACAAAGGAAGACAGATCAGTTTTGCAGTAGATCTATCTATAGAAAATTGACATGCCAGAAGGGTGTGGAAGGACATATCCAATATGCTGAATCAGAAATGTATGCAGCCAAGAATTCCTTATCCAAGAAGACTGTCATTCAAAATAGAAGGAGAGATAAAGAATTTCCAGACAATGAAAACTAAAGTAGTTCCAGAGCATTAAACCAGCCCTGCAAGAATTATAAAGGGGACTCTTTGAGTGGAGACAACACAAAAATGAAACAAAAATGAATTAAAAAGACCAAAAGCAACAAAGACTTGAAAGGACCAGAGAACACCACCAGAAAGAACAAGTGTACAGGTAGCACAATGGCACTAAATTCAAATCTTTCAATAATCATTCCAGATGTCAATGGACTAAATGCTACAATAAAAATAAATAGGGTTACAGAATGATAAGAAAACCAAATTCATCTATGTGCTACCTATAAGAGACTCATTTTATACCTAAAGGCACCAGCAAATTTAAAGTGAGAAGATGGAGAAGCATCTGTCATGCTAATGGGCATCAGAAGAAAGATAGAGTAGCCATACTTATATCAGACAAACTACATTGTAAAACAAAGACTGTAACAAGAGATGAGAAAGGCCATTAGATCATAAGATCTAACAATTGTCAATATTTATGTCCACAAATTGAGAGCACCCAAATATATGAATCAATTAACCACAGAATAAAGAAACTCATTGATGATGACCATAATAGTAGGGAACCAACACCCTGGTTACAGCAATGGACAGATCAGCTAAGCAGGAAATCAACAAGGAAACAATGACTCTGAATGACACACTGGACCAGATGGACTTAACAAATATATTCAGAACATGTTACCCTAAAGCAGCAGAATACATATTCTTCTAGAGTACACATGGAACGTTCTTCAGAATAGATAATATGCTGAGTCACAAATCAGCCCTCAACAAGTACAAAAGGATCAATATCATATCACACATATTTTTAGACACGACACTATGAAAAATGAAATCAACCACAAGAAAAAAAAATTTGCAAGGACCACAAATACTTTGAGATTAAAGAATACTCTACACAAGAGTGAATGAGTTAACCAAATATTAAAAAAGAAATTAAAAACTACATGGAAGCCAATGAAAATGAAAATATGGCAACCCTAAAACTCTGGGATGCAGCAAAAGCATTAATAAGAGGTAAGTATATAGCAATACAGGCCTTCCTAAAGAAGGAAGAAATGTCTCAAATACACAACTGAACTTTACATATAAAGGACCAGGAAAAAGAACAGTAAATAAAGCCCAAAACCAGCCCAAGAAGGGAAATAATAAAGATTTTAGCAGAAACCAGTGATATGGAAATTAAAACAAAAACAAAACAAACAAACAACAACAAAAAAACCCACAACAACACAGTAGAACAGATCAATGCAACCAGGATCTGGTTCAATGAAAGAGTGACAACATTGATAAACCCTAGCCAGATTGATCAAAAAGAACAAGTATTCATTTTCATCCTTTCTCCTACAGTTCCCCAAACTGGCTTTTCCATGTGTCCTTTCTATGCAATTATTTTCTATGTAAACATATATGTGACCTTGACAATGTGCCAATATGACTGAGAAGCATGTGGAGCTTTTTTCTAAAGATTAAAGAAGAAATTGTGACATCTTGAATAATAAGCCAAATAGAATTCTAGGTTCTTGAGACAGAGATAATTTCAATTCACCATTTCTTTTATCTGTCAACTAAGAACTGAAATCAGTAAAAATGATTGATATTTTCTCCATTTAATATTATTATTTCAAAGAGGTACTGACTGAGCCACCCAGAGGCCCCAAGATAACTGCATAATTTTTAATGGATGACCTCAAACATGTATGTATGTACATATAAATATATGAGCATTTAAAAAAATATGTTATCACTGTTCTGGTGTATGTGTTTCTTTCACATTTTCAACCTGAAGTTCTCTTTCTAATGATCTTAAACCAATGTGACCTCCCAAACTAAAGCACAATATAAATGACACTTAAAAGGTCATACAAATTTTTTTTTTAATTTTTTTTTCAACGTTTATTTATTTTTGGGACAGAGAGAGACAGAGCATGAACGGAGGAGGGGCAGAGAGAGAGGGAGACACAGAATCGGAAACAGGCTCCAGGCTCTGAGCCATCAGCCCAGAGCCCGACGCGGGGCTCGAACTCACGGACCGGGAGATCGTGACCTGGCTGAAGTCGGACGCTTAACCGACTGCGCCACCCAGGCGCCCCAAAAGGTCATACAAATTTTAATTCATTTGTATGTACAAAAATATTTTGAGGCTCAGTATTTTTCTAAGTAATGGGGATATTAAAAATAGATATAGTGGGGGCGCCTGGGTGGCTCAGTCGGTTATGCGGCCAACTTCGGCTCAGGTCATGATCTCGCGGTCCGTGAGTTTCAGCTCCATGTCGGGCTCTGTGCTGACAGCTCAGAGCCTGGAGCCTGTTTCACATTCTGTGTCTCCCTCTCTCTGACCCTACCCCATTCGTGCTCTGTCTCTCTCTGTCCCCAAAATAAATAAACGTTAAAAAAAAATAAAAAAAAATAGATATAGTGTCCTCAGGAGTTTATATTCATTCTGGAGAAATAGTGAAACATACAATCAAAATAATGTATGAGTAAAAAGGGCACTTAACACAGAATGGGTTGAATAGGAAATTCTTAGTTACAGGTAAATAGAAGAAATGTGTCAAACAGTTTACATGGGGTATTACAGGAATGTGTTTAGAGAATTAATGTGGGGTAGGAGGAATTGGAGACAATAGAAAAGAACAGTGAAAGATGAAGTGGGACAGGTAAGAAAGGGTAAGAAATAAAGAGTGCTGTTGACAGCCTGCAATACTTCAAATAAAGATATTTGCATATCCAGGAAGTTGGGTGAGTTCATTTGGGCAAGCTATTTCTTTGAAGAATCACTTTGGATATGGATAAGGAGTAGACTGGAATGTCTGAGCTCTTCTCTACCTATGATATTAATTTTATGAGGTAGACTATGATTATCCCAATTTAGCTGATGGGAACTGAGCACATACAGGTCAATACTTACCAAAGACCATGAAGCTGCTAAATGGCACTGTCAGGATTCAAGTTCAATTTGAAAGATGGGAGAAAACAGAAAATTGTGAAAATAAACTCTCTAGGCAGTAGGATTAGGAGAAATTTAGGAGGAACTTTGAAAGTTTCTTCAAAAACTTTATTAATTTTTGAATACTTTTGTGCACTGATATATTCATTTGTATAAAGTAGAATGATGACATTTCTACCACAAGACAAAATATTAATTTTTCCAAGTTCTCCACATTAAGAGTTAGAAATGGATAAACTAGAATATTCTTCTAGGTCTGTCAGTCATAGCTCCTTGCCAGTAAGACCTTCATGATCAGCATTGATCTCTCAAGATACTGACTTTGGAGGGAACTGACCTGTCATGGAGATATGCACCTCCTTCTCCACACTGAGTATTAGGTTCCTTATAACACAGGACACATCTGCTCTTGAACTTGTATTCACTGTGATAGATGATTCCACATGAAACAGCCCATTTTCTTCTATTCTCTTTGTCTCAGAGGCTGGTGCCAAGCGCAATCCTTGAAATTCCCTCCATTGTACTTCAGGCTCTGGAAACCACCCCTTGGATCTGCAGGTCAATTTAATGCCCCTCTTACTGCCAGGCTGTAGATGAATATGAGGAGCTGTACCTGGAACTTGGACAGCCAAAGAGAGACAGAGAAAGTAAGCATTTGCAAGAGTTTTGTTGCCATTTTACCTTTTATTTAACTTGTATGAAAATAAATTTTCTTATTTATAAAAGTAGTAGTTAGAAGAAAACTAGCCACAAAGAACTTTGCAGAAAAAAATCACAAGTATTAACATTTAACAAAACACCCACATACCAAGCATGTCTATATTAATTGTTCTATTTTACTACCTCCCAGTTGAAACGTTACTATTTTATCTGATGATTTTTGAAGTTGTTGGGTAGAACATCCTACCAATATATTTGCAGCCTCTAAAGTTAAAGGAGCACATCAGTTGGTGGTTTTCTGTAGCAAATTGCTAGTTATTTTCCAAATGTATTTTAAACCTTAATTTAAAGAATTTTTTTTCATTTTTTACATTTATTATTTTGAGAGAGAGAGAAAGAGAGCATGGGAGGGATAGAGAGGGAGGGAGACGCACATTCTGAAGCAGGCTCCAGGTTCTGAGCTCTCAGCACAGAGCCCAATGCAGGACTCAAACTTTCAAACAGTGAGAACATGACCTGAGCTGAAGTCAGATGCTTAACTGACTTGACTGAGCCATCCAGGCACCTCTTTAAAGAAGTTATTATACAGCTACCAATTTGGATTGGACATTTTGAGGAATAATATAAGTTTTAACTATACATAGGCCAGTGTAGTTTAAGACTGTATATTACAAACCCCCTCATATTTAGGAGTGTCCTTGATATGCTGGTGGAAGTGTTATGAAAGGGAAATTATTTGTGTGCCTTATAGAATATTTCCCTCAGTGAAAGGAGATACACTTATTTTTTCTCCCTCTCAAGGGCTGGAGCACAGAAAGTGCCTGTGTGTCATCTTCAAAAGTGAATTATGTGGATATGGCAAAATATCAAGATAAAAGAAATATGTAAACCTCACAGTGTGTACCCACTCTTCCAGCTCCAGCTCCTTTCTCCCTGTAGCTCAGAAGAAAAGAAACTCTGGTTTAAGCTACTATATATTGCAGTTCATTGAATAGGTGTGTAGCATTCCATACATTTCTATGTATAGTAACTAATACAGTCTATAACAAAAGAAAATATAAAATTTACTGGGATAGGCCTATCCTTGTTTTGGGTTGATTTTTGTCTTCTGATAAGATATTTTCAAGCTGTAACTGCCAACATTGGTGCCCTTATTTGGTTACCATTCTGTATATGCAATTAGTAAAGATGAAATTATACTGGAATTGGTGGGTCCTATTCCAAAATGATTGTGATCTACATAAAAAGAAAGAAATTTGGATACAGAGACACAAGGAAATTGGCCCTGTGAAGATGGAGGCAGAGACTGGAAAGACCCCAACAAAAGCCAAGGAATGTCTGAGGCCACCAGAAGCTGGAAGAGGCAAGGAACAATTCTCCTTAGATGTTCCATGGGTCCATAACCCTGATGACACCTTGATTGTGGACTCTGGTCTCCAGAACTGTGAGAAAATAAATTTCTGTTGTTTTCAGGCTATCCAACTTGTGGTAATTTGTAATGACAGTCCTTCTATGAAATTGATGAAGGAAAATTGTCTAATGTCATCTGATATTGCATGGATGGTCAGATCTCAAAGAAACACCATGAGGTGACTAGTAAATAGTGTGTCAGGCTAGTGATGAATTAGATGGCACAATGGTACCCTCCAGTGCCAGTAATGATACATGGTATTTTCAGAATAAAATGGCTTTGAGGATCAGTAGAGCATCAGGTGTGAGGATAAGCTCTTGAGTCAAAGGATTACACTTGTACTTGCTGGGAACTAGTGACCCAGTGTATCTAATGACTCAATCTCTCTGTGCCTCCATTCCCTTTTTGCAAAACCAGGATAAAAAGAGTCTCAATTCACATGATTTGTGTAAAGATTACTCCATATAAAGTGCTTATTGGGTTGTAAAAATAAATATTATTCATCTTTTTAAATTATATATATATATATTAAAAATAGGTTTGTATATTTTGAGAGAGAGAGAGAGCAGAGGGCAGGCAGAGAGAGAGAGAGAGAGAGAGAGAGAGAGAGAGAGAGAGAGAATCCCAGGCAGGCTCCGTTCTGTCAGCATGAAGCCCAATGCAGGGCACGAACTCACAAACTGTGAGATCATGACTTGATCTGAAACCAAGAGTCAGATACTTAACCGATGAGCACCCAGGCACCCCTACATTATTTATCTTAAAGAAGTAATTAATAAAGAATACAAATAAAAGAAATATTTCATTTGCCGGGATCATTTCACTTGAAAAGCCATCCCATTGTATTTCATGTATTTAGGCTACCTGCTAAGAGTTGAAGGGAAATGTGATTTTGGATGGGCATTTTCTAAAGACAGGATTATAGTTAGCAGGCCCTTGTAGAAACACAATAAGTGTTTATTTCATTTATGATTTTTTGGAGAGAGAAGAGTAAAGTTGTACTTTGAATTATGCCATTCTTTTTGTCTTATTAAATGTTGGGGCTAAGGGTAGAACACAACTTTTGGATCTAGTATCAATTAAAAATAGGAATGGGAATTAGGGGTGATGAGTATGGATAATTTTACAGGCTTCAAACATGTATTCCATGTGTTGCTTTGGCCATTAATGTTGTCTTATGAATGATCAAGTCAGGACTGAAAGATCAAAGTGGAGAAAAGACTGTCAGTAAGAGAGGAAAATAGGTCACCATAGTTCTCCTACTATTGTGCATTTCTAGCTGGCATACTTGAAGCCTGGATAGTTTCTGATACAGCACAGGCTGACTTTAATACATTCTTTACCTATTTGAGAGTCTGGAATTTTTATTGTCTTATGACCATGGCAGCGAGAGAAATCCCATAGTTTTCACCATTATGAGACCATCTGATTGTGTCACCTAATATAAGTGCCTTCAATTTTGTTTCCTATCTCTTAGAAAATATTTTGGTTAAGTTTTCAACCTATATTTGTGGTTGCCCTAATAGTTATTGATTGATGGATTTGCTTACCTGTACTCTATAAGTGTCAAACTAGTCAGATAATAGAGGACAGTGATGCTTATTGATTTCACGTAAAATTTAATATAGGTGTTTACTGAAGTTGTGGGTTCTGCAGAATTTTTTTTTTACCCAGAACCTTCTAGATATATAAAAAGAATAGGGAATGAGTTAAATCTGTTTTGATTCAAGATATAGAAGAATCCTTTCTCAAGGAGATAGTATAGGACTGTGAAGTTGCCTGCAATGACTGCCACTTCTTTTAGGAACTGATTAGTAACTCTGGGGAAAATGTCACTCCTCCAGGAAGGAAAAATACATCAAAGAAATGCATGCCAGAAATCACAGTAACTAAGGAAGTCACAGGAAAATATGAGGTATCCAGCTAGAGAAAATGAAGAACTTGGTCTGAAGATCTGGCACAAATGAAAACTACAAGGCCAGATAGCACCAGATGATTAAGGAGCATAAGGCAAGCTGACAGGGTGAAACCCCAGTCCCCCCCACACACCAGGTGGGATATGTGTGATATTGCTCAATTACCCCTGGATGCCAAAAAAGAAAAAAAAAGGAAAGGGAAAAACAAATATTTAACTGATAGAGATCATAGTCCTTCAGGATTTAAGTCTCCATCACTTCTCCATAGTGATGTGGGAAACAAAGGCAGAAGGAAATGGCAGATAGAACTAAGTTACCTTATAACCTGCAGCCTATTGACAAATACTTGGGGCTGGCAGAGTAAAAGGTTTCTCCAGGAACTCCTTTCTGTCTTAATGTTAGTGCTTTGCTAGAGGGAAAAACAACCTTAGCCTGACAATAGCTAGGCCTCCAGTATCCTGTGAGTCTTCTTTAGCATATGAAAATCTCACTGGAAACTTTCCCTGGACTCTACCTTCCCCAGCTCCATAGTATATAACCAGTGTCTCTTCATGGTCCCAGCACATCTCTTTCTGACCATGGGTCCTGTCCCCATGCTTTAATAAAATTACCTTTTCACACCCAACACGTCTTCAAGATTTCTTTCTTGGTCATTGGCTCTGGACCTCATGAACCCCACTATCATGCCAAAAAACCTCATCACCAGACACTACATTGCGGTGATATGGTATTGGGCATAAAGGGATCCTTCCCAGGAATAACTACAGAAGGTCATGGATAATTCAATTGGAGGAGGTAAGAGGATTGAATTGTATAGGACTTTATTTTTCTGATATATAATAAATGAGGATAGTAGATTCAAAAATGATATGACTCCCATATAATCAGCAAAATGTGGTAGAAAAAGCAGCCCACCTACATTTAGGGAGCACAGAAGTAATTTGGGGGGAAAATTCTGGATTCCTACAAATTTAGTTGTGATTACTTATTATCTCAATATTTATATACAAGTTTGTATTATAATAGGCCAAAGGGTGACACAACTTCTTAAGAATTTAGAAGTACATCTCTTTTTATTAATTTTGAATGTGAAATTTTTATACGAAAATGTTTTACTTAGTTGGAATATATAATCCACATATTTCTACTGCCTATACTGAACAAGAGAAAGGGAACCAAATTTCTTTGAGTGTTGTGGGGCTTCTGGGCTTCATAAAAAGATGGGTAGAATTCAAGGGTATTATTTGTAATATTTTTCCACATTGTAAATTAAAGAAGTTGGCACAGGCTTTCTCGTAGTTTTATTTAAAAAAATGTGCTTGGTTAGGAAACACCACTTTTCTTGCATATATGATTGGGAAAAATCAATAAAAAGATGCACTAGAAAACTTCATGTTCTTGAAATAAAAGATTGTAAAGGAGATTCTAGAAATAGTGTCAACAAATTAACAATTGTTGAAGCTCAAAACAAGGATGTCACACTAAGAATGAGAAAGACCACATGTGATTGGACTATTCCCAGGGTGGGCAGCAGCAAGATGCAGAAAACCTAGCCTGAGGGCAGGCTGCTCAGATTCTTTCTGCCTCTTTTTAGCTGCTTCTGAGAGTTAGAAGATAGAATCATTTCTGGGTGTCTTCTCCATTGAAAATGTGGGAGATTCAGGAGAGAAACATCAAAGGAAAAGACTTTAACGAAGAAGGGCTGGAGAAGGTGCAAGGCCTTAGGATATGTTTACACAGCTGAAAGCAGCTGAGGCACATAAGGAATGCCTAGAGCCACTAACATCATCCAGGGCCAGATCTTCCTTCACACCTGACCCTTCCTAGTGTTATAGAAGCCAATTAACTCTAAATTCAACCTTTGAGTTGAATTTGAGGAAGAGAGAGGGAGAGAGGGGGAGAGGGGGAGGGAGATAGAGAGGGAGAGGAAGAGGGGAGAGGGGAGGGGGAGAGGGAAAGGGAACAGGGAACCGGGTAGGTGGCAGACAGTGAGGGACAGAGAGAGAATCCCAAGCAGGCTCTGCACTTACAGCACCGATCCCGACGTTGGCTTGAACTCACAAACCAGGAGACAGATCATGACCTGAGCCAAAACCAAGGTTTCACACTTAACCAACTGAGCCACCCAGGGTTCCTGGGAAAAATAAGGTTTACATGCAAAATGCAAAATCTTACACCATACATAAAAATTAGCTACAGTTGGATTAAAGATTTAGCTACAGTTGGATTAAAGATTTAAATCTAGGACCTGAAACTGTAAAACTCCTTAGCTTGAAAAGCTAAACCATTAAATTGATTAACACACTTGCTTAGCTGACTTTATGTGCATAGTCTTTAACAATTATCCTAATGAAAGGAAGATTCATTCTGGAGTCGGGGCCTCATTCCAACTTGAATTTGAGAACCTTTACTTAACTGCACTTTGTTTGAGAACTCACCTTTTGCGACTCCGGCCATACACCCTGCAACAAGAACATACTATAATCCTTATTCTTTCTTTTCTTTGAAATAATTGTGTTGATAAAGAAAAGATGAAAATGTGTATCACTACCACCCAAGAATGTTGGGACACTGATTAAATTAGATTTACATATTTAACTTTCTTGGCAGTAAATAGTGTTTGTATAGATTTACTCATCTCTATCCATATACACCAATATTTTAGACTGCTGATGGAAAAATAATGCAATTTGTGTAAGAGTTTTCATTGAAGAGACTCACCTGTGACCAATAATTTGAATTTTGCTTCATTGTAGAAAGTGGAGCTTTCAAAGAAATATGTATAATCCCCACCATCGGAAGGTTGGATGGGATGGATCCTTAAGGCAACATGACCTTTGGTAATATTCTCCTTCAGGAATTCTGTCCTCCCTTGGTACTCTGGCACCTGCTGCTCCAAATGATCCTGGAAATTCCTATATTGATGCACCAGGCCTGAAGGATAATTTTGAAGAATAATCTCACTTCCATGTTCTGAGCATCCATTGATGGGCTGAGGTGATAGGAAGCCACAGCCTCTTCCCCAACCAAGGCAATGACTGGTGTTCTTGGTCCCATTACCTGGAATTGTCCTGGAAATAATTTTTAAAACAATGGAATCAACACTGAGACCTTGAAAAGCATGGTTGTGAGCTTCTGGTCAGTAAAAAAATTAGACCAGTTTAATTAACATAGCAAGCTGTAGCCAGTTAATGAACAGATTTAAAACAAAGATGCTCAAATACACTGTTAGCATAAGGCATAATACAGGACATGATGCCAATGTGCAACACTCATAGGTACTTAACCAAAATTTAATTGTGCTTTCTTTTTTCCTAGGATTGGATTTCAAATTATATAAATCTCATTGTGTGTGTCTTATAAAAATTCCATGTATTATAAAATATAATCATCGTTTAACATACGAGAATATTGAGTCAGTCAATAACTAATGATTGATTTAGTGATTAATAAATTGAGTGAGTGAATGATAAATTGCCACTAAATACTTAATTAGAAAGGCAAGGGATTAAATTCTGTTAGTAATGCCCAATGTTTCCTTTCTTTAAACCATGTATTATCTAATACAATATAACCTATAATGAAATATAATGTGAAATATTAAAATTAAGTGTTTATGTTAAGAAAACTTAGAACACTATATATAATAGTTTCCCATTTTAGAACATAAGTATGAGATCCTGTGTACAACATCAATTTCCTAGAACATTACTGTAAATTCTCTCTGAGTATAGGCATAACAAGTAACCATAGGTTAAATACCAATCTTAAAAAATAATTTCTACCTGGTGTAAATCTTTTAGAGAGCTACATAATATTTTTTCCAATATTGAAATTCAAATATTTATTTTTAACGTTTATTTTATTTATTTATTTATTTATTTATTTATTTATTTATTTTGAGAGAGACAGAAAAAGAGAGAGAGAGAGAGAGAGAGAGGGAAAAGGTGAATAAAGAGGGAGACAGAAAATCCCAAGCAGGCTCCATGCTGTTAGTGCATAGTCCAACACAGGGCTCCACGTTGGGCTCAAAATCATAAATCATGAGATCATGACCTGGGCTGAAATTAAAAGTCAGGCACTTAACCACTAACCCACCCAGGTGCCCCTCAAATATTTTTTTCCTAAGGATGTAAGGGTTATCATTTTGAAATGTCAACATCAAAAGTTTAGCAACATTTTCACTCTGTATCTGTGTATGTTTAACTTAGGCATACATGGCTTTAAGTCCTAACTGCTCACATATCATAAATGTAAGCAAAGTTCTATTTTCCCTTTGGATAGAAGCAACTAACTAGCACAGATAACCACCTCAATAACTAGTTGAATTTAAAATGAAAATTACTGTCAAAATATTTTACTTAAAGACAAGTTTTTTATCATATATTTTGAGATGTATATATGAGAGATGAACCATCTTGGCTCGAAAAGTGGGTGAGGTTTGTTTCTTTCTTGAAATCTTACTGACTGCTTGTCACATGACCAAATTGATTACAGAGTGCTTACAAAGTCATTGCATTCTGGTTTGTTATTTATTATTATTATTATTATTAAAGTTTATTTATTTTGAGAGGGAGAGAGCATGAGCAGGGGAGGGGCAGAGAGAGAGAGAATCCCAAGCAGGCTCCACTCTGTCAGGGTAGAGCACAACACTAAGCTTGATCTCAGGAACTGCAAGATCATGACCTGAGTCAAGATCAAGAAGTGGACACTTAACTGACTGAACCACCCAAGAGCCCCTAGTGCTTGTTGTTAATAAAACCATTCATTTCTTTTTTTATTATTATTGAGGAATAATTTACATACTATGTTGTATTAATTTCAGATGTATACCATAGTGGTTTGATATTTATATATGTTAATAAAATGTTCACCAAATGTGTCCTTGCCATCACCATATAAGGTTGTTAAAATGTTGGCCATATTCCCTATGCTATAAATTACATCTCCATGTCTTCTTTTATAACCGAAAGATGATATATCTTAACTCTCTTCATGTTTCATCCATTCAATCATCCCATATCTGCCAACAACCATCAGTTTGTTCTCTGTAACTATGAATCTGTTTCTGGGTTGTTTGTTCATTTATTTTGTTTTGTTTTGTTTTGTTTTGTTTTGTTTTGTTTTTTGTTTCTTACAATCCACTTATAACTTCTATCTTATGGCATTTGTCTTTTCCTGCCTCACTTATATCACTTAGTATAATAATATCTGTCTCCATCCATGTTGTCATAAGTTTCAAGATTTTATTCTTTCTTGTGACTATTATCCCATTGTGTGTGTGTGTGTGTGTGTGTGTGTGTGTGTGTGTATCATCTTTCTTTATCTGTTTACCCATTCACAGACATAAAATGTTTCCATATCTTGGCAATTGTAAAAGAAAAAGCCTGTATTTAATATAGGAATACATATGTCTTTTCAAGTAAGTGGTTTTGTTTATCAAATGCTTAGAAGTAGACTACTGAATCATATGGGAGTTCTATTTTTTTTTAATATTCTGAGGAACATCCACATTTTTTCCATAGTACTGTACCTTTTACATTCCCACCAAAAATTTGTGAGGATTTCCTCTTCTCCACATTTTCACCAACACTTGTCATTTCTTTCTTTCTTTCTTTCTTTTTTTTTTTTTTTGTTGTTGATATTAGCCATTCTGGCAGATGTGAGCTAGTATGTCTTTGTGGTTTTATTTGTATTTCTGCAATAGTGATTTTTAATAACTTTTCATGTGTATACTGGCCATCTGTGTGCCTTCTTTGAAAAATGTTTATCTAGGTTCTCTGCACATTTTTAAATCCATATATTTCCCATGTATTGAATTATAGGATTCTTTTTTTTTGGATGTTATCCGTTATTAGATATTTTTTTCATTTGACAATATCTTTAATTCAGTAGGTTGCTTCTTTGTTGTATAGATTGTTTCCTTTTCTGTGAAAACCCTTTTAATTTAATGTAGTCTTATTTGTTATTATTAATTTTTTGTTATTCTTGCCTGAGAAGATAGATCAAAAAATATCACTAAAACTGATATAAAAATGCTTATCACATATTTTTCCAGGAATTTTATTGTTTTTCATTTTATATTTAAGTCTATAAACTATTTTGAGTTTATTATTGGATGTGGTGTATTGAAGGCACTTTTTCACACTCTATGCTTTCATCCTTTATGGCCTAATATATAATTAGCCATATAAGTATCAGTTTATTTTCTAGCTTTATATCTATTTAATTATCTATGTATCTTTTAAAATTATTTTTATTTAATATTTTAATTTTTATTTATTTTTGAGAGAGAGAGAAAGCATGGTAGGGACAGCAAGAGAGAGAGAGAGAGACAGAGAGACAGAAGATCTGAAATGGGCACTTCACTGACAGCAGAGAGCCAGATGTGGGGCTCAAACTCATGACCCATTGAAATAATTTCCTGAGCTGAAGTCAGAAGCCCTATTATTTTTTTTTTTTAGAGAAAAAGAGAGAGAGAGAGCATGTATGTCATCAGGGGAGAGTGGCAGAGGGAGAGAGAGCCAATCTTCTTAAACAACACCACACTCAGTGAAGAGACTGATGCTTGGATCTATCCCTTGACCCTGGAATTTTGGTTTGAGCTGAAATCAAGTGTCAGATACACAATCTACTGAGCTACACAGGCACTGTTTCCATATCTGTTTTTAAGCTTGTTTATTTATTTTGAGAGAGATAGAGATGCCATGACAGAGAGAGACCCAAGCAGGCTCTGCGGTGCCTGTGCAGAGCCTAACAATGGCACTTGAAATCATGAAATTGTGAGACCATGACCTGAGCCATGACCTGAGCCTGTAAGTGTTTTTATACCAATACTACCTTTTAAATTAATATAGCTTTGTAATATAGTTTGAAATGAGGAAACATGATAGTTTTGTTTTTCTCTCATTTTGGGGGTGGGGTCTTTGGTGTCTTTTATGATTTTATACTAATTTTTGAATTACTTCTAGTTCTGTGAGAAATTCCTTTGAGTAGTGTGGAATTTTAACACTATATTACATTTTATAGAGAACAGATCTTTCACCTCCTTGATTAAATTTATTCTTAGGGATTTTATTCTTTTTTAATACAGTTGTAAATAGGATTGTTTACTGAATTTATCTTTCTTACTGTATAGTAATGCAACATATTTCTGTATATTGATTTCATACCTTGCAACTTTACCTAATTTATTTATAAGTTCCGATAGGTTTTTGGTTGAGACATAAGGTTTTCTATATCTAGTTTCATACAATTTACAAACCATGACTGTTTTACTTGTTTTTATTTTTATTTTTTTTTTGAGTTTTTTTTCTTTTTATTTTATTTATTTTTTATTTTTTAATTTATATATGAAATTTATTGTCAAATTGGTTTCCATACAACACCCAGTGCTCATCCCAAAAGGTGCCCTCCTCAATACCCATCACCCACCCTCTCCTCCCTCCCACCCCCCATCAACCCTTAGTTTGTTCTCAGTTCTCAACAGTCTCTTATGCTTTGGCTCTCTCCCACTCTAACCTCTTTTTTTTTTTTTTTCCTTCCCCTCCCCCATGGGTTCCTGTTAAGTTTCTCAGGATCCACATAAGAGTGAAACCATATGGTATCTGTCTTTCTCCGTATGGCTTATTTCACTTAGCATCACACTCTCCAGTTCCATCCACGTTGCTACAAAAGGCCATATTTCATTTTTTCTCATTGCCACGTAGTATTCCATAGTGTATATAAACCACAATTTCTTTATCCATTCATCAGTTGATGGACATTTAGGCTCTTTCCATAATTTGGCTATTGTTGAGAGTGCTGCTATGAACATTGGGGTACAAGTGCCCCTATGCATCAGTACTCCTGT